GCCCACATAAGGCCTTGCAGATTCAAATTCATGTTCCTGCACTCTCGGGTGTCACCTACGGCCACGTGAAAATTTTGGCGGATAAATTATCTCGGGAACCACGGAATCTATGGGGCTGAAAACCCCTTGTCCACGTACAACCTTGCAAATTCAAATGCAGCGTTCTTGGGCTTTCGGGTTTCAACTACGACTCCGTAAAAGTTTTGGGGCGAGGGAAATTATTGTCTTAGAAACCATAAAAGTCAAGAAGCTGCAATTTTGCGGTAGTGCCGGTGTGTGAGATTTCATGTATCGATGCAGGAAATTTTTAATTTTTTTTAACGTTTCAACTATTTCTGCACAGACTAAAGTACAAAGCAGTGAAAATCATTAACAGGCAATCGATCGGTGGACGAATTGCACAAAACACATGATCGCACCGACTGGTCTAGTGCGCTTTGCTATTTATATTAAATTGTATCGTAAATCCAATAATTCTTTTCATTGTTTAATTTTAGCCGGAGCCACCTCTTGTAATGGAACGGATCCTGAACATGCGAGAACAGCAGAAACCAATAAATTTGTCAAGGTTTGCTTTCGATGCGATGCAAAAAAATGTTTTTTGCTTCGCAAATCTTTTTATGCGTTTTTGCATGTATGCAAGCGCAAAAATGCTTATTATGGTAACCCATGGTGTGTGTATGTGTGTGCATCTTTCTGGGTATTTCAACGCGGCAACCAAGCAAGCTTCGATGTTGAGATTTCGCCTGCGAGTTCCCCGGCTAAATGCCATCCTAGAAACGCGATACCAGTCTTCACATGAGGATTCTGGCGTGAAAACTGCTAACCAGGAAAGCTAGAAAGCTGAAATTTCAAGGATTTCCCCAACTACATGCTACTCAAAGATTTCAAATCCAGCCTTCATGTATGTGTATTTGATCCTCAAGTACGGGCACACGAAAGTTTCGGCGGGAAAATACAAGTTGAAGATTGCAAATTCAACCCACAGATATGCGTGGTTCTCACACGTAAAAATCTTGGCGAGGAAATTGCACATTCAACAGAGAATGACCGTTAAGCGAAAATTGATCATTTTCCTTTATGCAGAATTTTCCTTCATACGCATAAAATATACAATTTTGTTATGAAAAATAATTTATCGCCATTTCGCGTCAGGAATATTTGTTAGAGTTTGTATTACTTTGGCAGTGTTTTCTGTGAGAAATCGTACGAGTTTCTTTCATACTCAGAATGTCATTTCATTTCAGTGGGAATGCTGATTGTGCAACGGAGACCGCAAATCCTCATTTGGGGGATTCGAGTGAAACAGTTTCTCTCTCAATCGCTGACCTTATTCTGCCGAAGAAAACTGCTGACACCGCTGTTTCACCGTTAGCTTCCACAAGCACTGAAGTGTTTTCAGCATTATCTGGTGTATCTAGACCCATTGTTTCGGTGCATTCAACGACCGCCGCCCCATCGTCCGTTTTTCCTTCCTTATCCTCTACAGCAGCCAAACAACACTTCGACTTTTCCTTTTTGCCCGTTTCACTCGCGCAACAAGTCAAAAGCACGCCAGTATCGGAATCTACGAAAAATGATCACATCGCATTAGCAAGAACAGATTCGATTCCTCCGAGCAGATTTGCTGCACCACGTAAATTTTTTTTCCAATTCGACTAAGAGAGAAAGCGTGTCAGATCGGATAGGTTTCACAGAGTCTCAGTTTGGGGAACATACTAGCTTCTAAGTAGTCTTCGAAAGAGAGGGCCAATGGTTACTCGTGGCACGGGCTATCTCTCGGGTTGTTTCCGAGCACCTCCTCCCATTAAGGGCGGAATATGGAGGGGAAGTACGTCAAATTCGAAATTTTCAACGTTTCCATAAAATTTTTAAATTGCTCTGGAGAGAGATAACTTTTCAGAGATTTTACGAGAAACAGATTTTGCAAAAGCAGAGGGATCATTAGCAGTCCAATGCAGTTCTAGTGCTCAAGAATCGCTGTCAAAGATTTCGGCTTCAGCTGCTTCGGATGAAACCACGCTGAAAGAGGAGCGTAATCCGATTTGTGGGGATGAAGTAGCGTTTGCAAAAGATTTTATGGCAAAACTGGTCTCTGTTCCTGTCGGCACAAAAGTACTAATTATTTTTCATTTAAAGAACACATTAAAAACAGTTCACTTTTGTACAGTTTAGTGAATTTATCACTACAGTGATAGCTACAGCTCATGCATGCTCTGGTTCTTCAGCTGTGCAGCTGACTTTCAATCGTTTTGACTAGCAGCTGCATCGTTTCGTGATCAGCCTACTGACAGTTGCCGTTCATTTCATCTCTTGGATGAGTTAGCAGCTTAATGCTTTTACGACAAAGGCATCTATCAAGACTGTAGTCGTTTTGAGATGCCATTGGTGTACTGAGCATTCTCTTCCGAGACCACGATAAGGCGTCTTATTGTCTAAGGTCTTTATTATGCGTTTTTTGCAGCAATGCAATGCAAAAAACGCATATTGACGAGAGGTTGTCTGTGT